GGGGCGGATCAAAGGGGGTTTCGAGGAGTGGGGGGTCGGCGGAACCCCCTGCTCAAAAAAATGAGACGCTGTAGCATGTAGAATAACAGAAATCCCATTTCCGAGAATCTCTATCTTAAAAATTTTAAGGGGCGGTCCCCTTTTTCAACCCGCTTCTCTAAAATCCTGTATCCGCCTCAGCATTGCAAATCGCGCGGTTACCGTAAAGCTTCAGGTCTGACATAATAACAGTGAGCTTTAATTTAGTTCTATCGTATCGAGGTATAACAATAATAATAATATAACAGTATGACTCCTTTTATGACGTGTCTGCATCTTTTGGAAAGTAAAAATCTGACCGGAAATAGACAGGGACATCTATCGGTGAATCTCTTTGGCGCAATTGACGTGTTTGTCACCCCACACACCCCACTCACAGATTACGCGCGGCCATTTTTCTTTTTTGCTTTCTACAAAGTTCTCTTTTTGGCTTGAAGATCCAGGGGCCGATCTAGTGAGGTAAACAAATTTTAAAAGCGAATACGAGCTAACGCGAATGATTCGCTCCTGTGGTTGAAGGTGCTACTTATTTTGAAGATTAGTCCACCAGGGATCAAAAGCTGTCAGATTTATTTGAACTAGAGTTTACACGGCTCGTTGCGTCCGTGGTCACATCGTAGTCAACTGAAATTGAAATAATTACGAGATAAATTACTATTTACAGCATTCTAAATCGAAGCGACAAACGATTTCGAAACTTACAATTTGTGTTCCTGAGTGTCAGATCCCTTTGATCGCTATCTTGATGTTTATGCTTACGACTGTTGATGACTTGGCTTCGAAAAACGTTACATGATAAATTTTTCCTTTTAAAACTTAAGTCACATGAACCGTTTTTCCCGCCACGCTTAGTCGAGGCGATTTCGCAATTACCGACAATAATTAATTCTATTTCTTTTTTTTTTATACGCGACTGAACATGCAAATCACGAAGAAGAAGGCTTCATCTCAGGGAGGGAGGGGGGGGTGCGCACCCCTGCTCCCTCCCCCTAGATCCGCCCCTGNTGAATACGAAGAAGAAGGCCTCATCTCAGGGGAGGTGGGTGCGCACTCCCTGCACCCTCCCCCTAGATCCGCCCCTGCGACCTCATGTGAAAGAAGGCCGGGTTGTACACTGCCCAATCAAAAGTCCGATATCCAGCTTAAAGCGTTCAATCGCAGTATCGGATCGAAGACCTTTAGGAAGTGTGCATAATCTGAGTAATCTGGTTCTAGTCCCCTAAGCCCTCTGTCTTAACCGGCACTAATGTTAAACATCTTTAAAGGGTTTTTTAAGATTTTTCTTACTTAGAAATCTATCATATGAAAATTTATGAAAGGAACCTGAGTTTGAAATGGTGGCAATCTTAATCCAACGGCAAGAATCTAGCCACTCAAATCACGTGTCTCCAGAGCCACCTTTTTCTACTGTCCAAGAAGAACGGCTGGCTCTGAAGACGACAAACAGTAGTCATTCGGCTTGTGCACGTGTTGGAGTCAGTGCTAGGCGCCAGTCGATTGGATGTCTTACAGATCTGAACCGTGATTGGCTGACTGGAGGTTTTCGTTTTGTTGTCGAGATGCATTTCATTTTAATTGAGTTAATTGTAACATAGTAAATGGTTTGAACCCAGTCCTGTATGAATTAATTGCATGGTTAAGGAGCTCTTTTGGCAGTTGGCCCTCGAAAATGTAATGCTGTCTCAAAATCGAATGCAGTTTTATGTAATGAAAACTAGAAAGTAAGGAAATTGTAGCTAAAAGTCTGAAACTGGGATATCAAAATTGAAAATTTTTCCACCTCATATTACGGTAAATCCGATCTGAAGTAAGGAAATTGTAGTTAAAAGTCTGAAACTGGGATATCAAAATTGAAAATGTTTCTACCTCATGTTAGTGCAAATCCGACTGCAGAAAGTAATCCCATGTCGGCTTATTTGTACCAGATGATGGTCCAGTATGTAGCTTAGAGTGTGTCAAAAAATGAAATACGTCCAGAACATTTTTTGGACAGCTCAAGGAAGGACAATAAACTGAGATGCAGTCCTGCAAGAACGGAAACCTAAATTAGCGAAGAAAGCACTTACAAACAAAAGCAATGACAGAGAGAGTTATACCGACTGTTAACTCAAAGTTGACGTAAATCGTCTTTTGAATATTTTAATTGGCCGACGCAGAATTAAGAATGAATTAGAAAGGACGAAATTCACTTAACAAGGCCAAGGTTTAGACTTCAAGAGCTGCAATATTTCTTTGCTACAACCGTAATGTTTGTCATTAGACATTGTTATTGTCCTTCGTCTCTGAATATTCCTTTACGTTCTTTC